TAGATCTATTAATAGTTGTTTTATATAGTTAGTGGAACCTGTGTTAAGTGCATAAATATTAATGACAATTTTATCTTCCTCGTGAATTGCTCTCTTGATTATTCTATAGTGTTTCTCTCTGTCCCTGATTACCCTTTTTTTTGCTCAAAGTCTAATTTGTCAGATATATGATAACAGTTTTTGCTTTTCTCTCGTATAATTGGCTCGATGTGCTTCAGGCTTCTATTTTAAGTTTGTGTTTGTCTTTCAGTTTCATATGGGGTTTTTTGGTAGACAAAGTGGAGATGGCTGATACTTTATGAACAAGTCATGAACTAATTTGTCAGTCTATGTCTCTTAATTAGTTCAGACAATTCACATTGAGGGTGGTTATTATTATATGAGGCTCATTTAATGTCATTATTCATCTTTAAAAAAAAAAAACATTTCCAAGGGTCTCTAGTCTGAGTTCTCTTTGTAAATATCTTCATTTTATTTTTTCCTAAATGACATTAGGCTGAGGATCAAATTTAAGATTCACCCTTTATTCTTCTCTAACAGTACTCCCTTGTGTTATTCCCATAAATCAGTGTTGCAAAACTGAGATCAGTCTGATAGCTCTTCCCCAGCAAGTAACTTGCTTTCTTAAGCTCAGGTCTGTATATTCTCACAATGAGTAAGGTGTTCAAGAGTATTAAATCAATTCTAAAGTATTTCCTTTGTAAATATGAGGTGTCACTATACGCTCTTTGAAGTCTAAGATTTTGGTTGAACCTGAATTAATATTTTGAAGGATTAACATCTCACAGTGACATTTACCATAAGCCTTGGGGTCAAGCTACTTGACTCCAAATCCCAGTCACATACTTTCCTTGAAAAATAAATTGATCTCCCTGTAGTCACTTCACTGGTAAATAACTTTAATAACAGTTACACGTTCATATTACTTAATGTAAGGATTAAAGAGATTAAAGGATTAAAGAAGCAAAAATATATAAAATGCTTAGTCCTTTAATTGGCATACCACACATGTTGTCTGTTACTATTGTTGTTAATCATGGCTTTATCAAATGTCTAGAATTTTGATCTTTTCATGGTTACCAGAAGGAAAGAGGAGAAGGGGGTGGGTGGTTGAGTAAAAGTGATCAATTGTATGGTGTGAAATTCACCACCTTGCAGGTGTTTACTTGCACACCACGTTGGTTACTCACAAAAATGACTGGAGTGAATCTGGAAAATGTATACCTCATGGTGCAGACTTAGGGGAGTGGCAAGAAATTTGCCCAGGTTTTCTGTATTCTTTGTGGAAATAAAGTGTTAATCTTTGGGGAGATATATGGCACTTACAGTCATCCTTAGGGCATGATGAAAATTTACTGCAGCTGCAAAAACAAACTACAACAACAAAGACCCTTCACCTTAGGGATTTGACATGACAGTAAAATGGAAAATGACAAAGAATTGTAAAAATGTTCTTTGAGCTAGAATCTGAGGTTGTCAAGTTTGTAGCATCTATGATCTATGGGGGGAGAAAGTTGATTGCAGCAAAAATTAGAATTTGAAATTAGTTATGTGTGTGTGTGT